AAACTTTTAGTTAATGTAGCAGCACTCCATGTTCTACCTGTTTAGTCAGTCAATGTATGTACTGGAGCCACCAGGTTATTTCAGTATGACTTCAGATTGCTTATATATAAATACGCATTATAAGTGATATATATCAAGCCTTTCCAGGAATGGTGTGCGGCTTTTCGTCTCGTATGACAACTAAAATGATGTTAAAGTTAGAGAACGTGATCACGGCTGTTTGCGCAGTTTTATTATTAATATTATTATTATGTTGTGCTGAAAAATTTTTTTAAATTTAATAATTACATAAGAAATTAAATTAAACTTAAATAGATAATAATAATAGTTTATATAATTTGTGTGTTGTTTTTATTTTTGTTATTTCTTAGTGGTTATTATTATCGGCAACAAAATTCAGTAAGTCAAAGCAAAAAAAAACAAAAACAAAACAATTTTAGGCGTTAAAAAGGATGACTTTCCCATATTTTATGTGTTTTTTCTTTTAAAAAGGAAAGAGAAAATATGTATCGTCATCTGTTTGTAAAATATATTTGTATAATTATAATGCAATTTTATATCAAAAGTTAAATTATACGATCGCGATTTGCAAATTGACAAAATATTAGGTCTTTTAAACTTTAGTTCATGCAAAGCTGTGTACTTTGTTTATAAGGAGCAAATTATTAAAAGTTTGCTAGCAAGAAAGTTACAAAAACAAAACAAAAACAATAAACTTACAACTACAAAAGTAATAACATTTTAGTCACTAACTGCATTATAAAGGTAATAAAACTATAATAGTGTTATTACATTTATAAAGCACTTATTACTTTTAAAGTTCATTCTTTGTTCAAACAACATTATTAATTCCAAACATTTATTAAAGTAGAAAAGTATCTAGAAAAAATAAAGCAGATATTCAAATATTAAAAATTTCTGGCACTTTCACAGATCATTTAAACAACATTATAAAAAAGTACTTTATAAAAAGTATAACATTATGAAAAACGTTACATAAAAATGCGCGTTAATTTTAAAATCAACCAATAAAAATTTTTTATTAGTTAATTGTAAAATTAATGCGCGTTTTTACGGTCCATTAGTAACGCTTTTCATAATGCTAAACTTTTAATACAATACGTTTTTATAAAGTTGTTTGTCACATTTTTATAAGTTATTTAAGTTTTAATATTATTTGAACGTCCACTTTATTTTTCTAGATATTTTTCAAATTCAATTAAAATTTGGGCATACTTATGTTGCTTGAACAAGTTTGGACAAATTTGGGCATACTTATGTTGCTTGAACAAGTTTGGACAAATTTGGGCATACTTATATTGCTTGAACAAGTTTGGACAAATTTGGGCATACTTATGTTGCTTGAACAAGTTTGGACAAATTTGGGCTTATGTGGGGCATACTTATGTTGCTTGAACAAAGAATGAATCTTAAAAGTTATAAGTGTGTTATAAAAGTAAATAACTAAAATATAAAGATAATAACACTATTATAGTGTTATTACTTTTGTAATGCAGTTAGTGACTAGAGTGTTATTACTTTTGTAATTGTAAGTTTATCGTTTTATTTTCTATTTTTTCGCTAAAAAATTCAAGTTGATTCTCCCCTTAGAAACAAGGAACACGGTTTTGTATAAATTAACATTTTGAATACTAGATATTTTTCCAGATTTTGCGTTTTGCATTCGCTTAATTCAACCCTTGTTGTTACATTAAAATTATACAAATAAATTTTACAAACACATTGCAATTTGTATTTTTGCTATCCTTTTAGAAAAAATGTTTAGAAAAAGAAAATCATTCTTTTTATTGAAGACTTCAAACTGTTTTTTTTTTTGCTTCGCCTTATCTAATTTTGTTGCTGAATGTAACAACCACTCTAAAGAAACAAAAATAAAAACAGTACACAAATTATTAAAATTATTAATTTGTTTTCTATTTCAATCTCTTTTTATTTTGTAAGTTTTGTTTTTTTTGTTTTTGAAACTTTTTTAGCATTGATTATTATAAAACTTGCAAACGGCTGTGTTCAAGTTGTCTAAAATAATATACTCGCGTGTGGTCATACTAGACAAAAAACCGCATTTCCTGGGAAGGCTTGCAGTTTTTCATATATATATATATATATATATATATATATATATATATATATATATATATATATATATATATATATATATAATATATATATATATATATATATATATATATATATATATATATATATATATATATATATATATATATATATATATATATATATATATATATATATATATATATATATATATATATATAACTTTATATATATATATATATATATATATATATATATATATATATATATATAAATAATTCTATCATCCTAACTAGTTCTTAATCACCTAATTTCATAATGATTCACAGGAGATTAAATTCTTAGATAATTAGGAGATGTCGTATAATATCAAAGAGTTAACTCAAAACTTTTTATCTAAATTTTAATAAATTTTAATCAGTTTGAAATATTTTTATCTAATTCATTTGAATTTAGATCTGTAGGTGGCGCATTCAATTGTTGAATCTCAAAATAAGTTCCAAAAATATATTTCTGGAGCTTCTAGAGTTATTTTTTATTTCTGGAGCTTCTATTATTTTATTTTTATAATCTCTGGACTGGAAGAGCAGGGCACTCATGCCTTCTTTCTTTTAAATGCCACTTATCTTGCCAAAACAGACATCTAACCTTAGGACTCATGGTTTTGACCCAAAACTCAAATGACTACATCATGGCTGCCTAAAATTACTTCAAATTAAAATTTCTTCATATAAATTTTAAAATATAAATTAAAATTTCTTCATATTATTTATAAAATATAAATTAAAATTTCTTCATATACATTTTAATTTTAAGATTTAGATGAATTAAAATAAATTATTTTTAGATAAATTTTTCTTTGAAAATAAAAATTTATATTTGTATAAATTTAAAATTTTAAAATACTTTTTAAACAATTCGTTAAAAAGTTATGTTTTAAAATAAGTATTTTAGTTTAAGTTTTTGCCCAAGTTTTTCTCTCCACAACAATTTCTGCTTTATGACCTGTGTTTGTTCAAAGATGTTGAAAATCTAAACACCTCTAAATAGTTTAAGCATTGAGGAATTTAAGATATTGACCTGGGAAGGTTGAGGTTTAATCTGGGAAGGCTTAGTTGACTTGGAATGACCAGGTAATTAAGTAGAAAAATATTGTTTTTAGTTACTTGGAAAAGTTCACAGAGTATCTTGGATTATTGGTGAGCAATCATTTCAGTCGTTTTGAATCACATTCTACTTTGCCTACAGCTGAACTTCTTACTATGTTTCTTAAATACAGTTTATTGCAGGTACAGATATTTTTTGTCATAATGGAATCTACTTTTATGTTTCATTTTTTTTCTCTATTTTTTGGGTTAGCAACCTGCAATACTTGATCTATTAAAAATCTAAAAAAAACAAAACAATAGTTTCTTTAGTTACCATTTTTTTTATCTTTTCTTTAGTTATCATTTTTAAGTAATCAGACATATAATAACTATTTTGTATTTTGTATTTAAAGAAATTAAAAAAATATAAATAATGATAAATAATTAAATAAAAATAAATATATAAAAAAATCAGTAATTGCTAACAAAGAAATAAAGGTAAAATAATATTATCGTATTGTTTTTTATAATAATTATTTTTTAATTAATTTGTCTGTTGCATGTGATGTAATAACTAAATTATAATATATATTTATTTATATTTCATTTTTTTATATTTAATAGCTATTTTCATATTTATATTTTATTATAATAATAATAATTATTATATTATACAATAATAATAATTATATATATATATATATATATATATATATATATATATATATATATATATATATATATATATATATAAATATATATATATATATATATATATATATATATATATATATATATATATATATATATATATATATATGTATACTACTACTAATAATAATAAATATAATAATTGCTATATATTATTAAAAATAATTAATAATGGAGAACATTATGCCCTAGTATAAATGCTGATACCCAATTGTTTGCATGATTGCATCTTTTATAGATATAAAAAAAAATTTATCTAAGAATGAATAATTTTTTAAATTGTTTTTAAATTGTGCTGCACAGCCATCCAATAAGTACTTCACACATCCAATAAGTACACACACACACACAAAACACATACACACACATATATCAAAGGCTATTCTAGACTGTTTTCGACAGTGTCGACTATATTTGGGCGCCTCCCAAATTAAAAATCGAGGACCTTTTTTTTAACCTTTTTTACAGCAAATACTGTTTTTTCTGCGAATATTCTGCAGTATTTTGCCTAAATTTTTCCGGGACAGAGGGGTACTGCCACCCATATTTTTTTCCTAGATTAGCCCCTGTATATATATATATATATATATATATATATATATATAATATATATATATATATATATATATATATATATATATCTTTTAAATTTGGTTAACAATCCCTGCGTTGTGATCAACAACTGAAATGTAACAAAGATTTTTGTTTGAAAAAAAGTGAACTTGATTTTGCTTTAGTGGTTTTGAACATTCTAAAATTAGGCATTTCTTTTGTTTAAGATTTTCTTTACTGTTTCACAAGTATCTACTAAGTGTTTTTGGAATATATGAATGTGTGGTAGGCTTGGTATGAATGTGTGGTAATTGGAATGTGGCTTGGAATGTGTGGTAAACAATGCTGCAGCATATAAAGTCATAAAATTTATTAGTGACAATGATTGGAACAGCAGTGTTGTATAATCAATACTGGGCTGTTGCTTAGATACTGCATCATGGTCTATAAACTTTTGCAACTGTTGTGTAATAGAGAAGGTTAAATTACAAGTTTTTTTGAATTTAAGTGTTAAAGATCTTTTCTAAACAATGCAAAACACATCCTAGAGAACTTTTTGAAATTAAAACAGTTCTTTTATGAGTGGTTTCAGCTTTAAAGAAGCGTTCAAAAGGTTTCTGTGCAATGATTATTGTTATGTTTTAGAATTGTGTAAATTTAGAACTTATTATATAAAAGGCAAAAAAACACATGTTTATGGTAAAATAAAAAATAAAAAAAATAAAATGTCCGCTTTCAAACTTTAGGTCTTTAAAATATTTATAAAATAGAAAGTTCCCTTCCCTTATTATTTTAAAGTACTAAACAGGAATTCAAAAATTTTAGTTAAAAACCTTTGAAATAACTTCTGAAAGTTAAGTATATAATTATAATTATTTTGTTTATATTAAGCTAGAGTTCATTGTAAAACTTAAAAATCTTTTCATTTATATTCAAGTAAAATAAGGATGTAATTTCGTATAAAATAAGGATTACTTTTTTTTTTTTTTTTTTTTAAATTATTCACCTCCCCAAGGCCCGAGGGGGCCACTACAGTCGAGGAGGCTACTCATTTTACAACCCTCTCTCAACTCTTTAACTCCGAAACACGAACCTTGACAAGCAAGGTCGCTGCGCGGAGAAATTAAGTCGAGGGCGGTACTTCCAGGGACATGGTGGGAGTCAAACTCCGAACCTCTCGCTTACAAAGCGAGCGCTCTTACCACTACACCACTACCGCATTGGTGTTTGCACTTGCAGTTTAGTTGGTTGACTCCTTCAGTTGCATTTAGTTGGTTGAATTCCTTTTTTAAACATTAACAATTTGTATTAGTATTAAATTTGTGAGATTTTTTTTTCTTTTAAATTACATTTTTTTTCTTGAAACTAAATATAGTATCTAAAGATGAGTTTAAGATTCCAATTCCAAAATACAAGTTTTTTCTAAAGATGTGAATTTATGTGCACTATGCACGCTTGCAATTTGGTTTGTGGTCAGTATAATTCTTCCTTCATTTAGGTACCAAATTTGGTATCAAGTACAGAATACAGAATACTGAAATTTAAAATTTGAGGACTTTTTTTATTATTTTTATTTATTTAGCCTAGAACTGCTAATTATTACTAGAACTACTACTTTATACTTTTGTTAGATGTTTTTGTCTATTGAGTTTTTTCTATAACTCCTGCTTTATGACCTGTGTTTATTGAAGTATTGTCTAGTAAAACCACTTTTAAAGTGTTTAAAAGAATCATACTCTTCAAGAACTTTATGCATGTACTGAGCTTGATTTTTCCTGTTGCTTCTGCAAGAGATAAAACTTTGTGAGTAAGATATCGACCATCATAAAGGTAAGGTAGGAGTTTTTTAGTCACAGTCATATGATTTCTCTGTGAATCTCTTTAATTAACAACCTTAGCATCTTGTGTTACAGCTAATGTTTTTCATTTCTATCAGAGCTCATGTTTTGTTATTAATTTTACCATCAACTCTAAACCAAAAAACTTTTCTGTTATTCTTAGTGGATTCCAAGTCTTTAATCATTTTTAAACAACTTTATTTACTTGTCTATTTTTCATTTAAAATTACAATTTGTGTGATTGTTACATCATACTGCTTGATACATCAGTTAACTGTCCTGATAAATTGATTATTAAAAAATTATCCCAAAGAAACACAGCTCAATGGAACTTTTTATATTGTTTCTAATTAGCTCAAAAAGAAACTTCGAAAGTTTGTAAGTTCTTAATGGTTTTCTTTCATGCTTCTATATCTAAGAAAAAAAGTTTGTTTTTAAAAAAGTTTTATTTTTATTCATGAGTTATATTTAAACAAAAGTTCATAAGTTCATTTTCTTGAATTTACTTCTTTCTCTACTAACTGCATAAGTTCAACTAATTCTTCAATTTACTACTAATTACATGCTAAAAATGTTTATTGAAAAGGTAAAAAAGTAAAAAAGTGTTTATCAATATTTTAAACTAGTACTATTTTAGAGGTTGTTTTCAAGTCTTATTATTTATATCTTCGATATTTTTTATATGTTGTAAATGATCCAGAAGAAGTATATTAATGAACTAAATTTCAGTTTATATATTATTCCTTTAACTCCTCATTACTTTCTGCTAACTCACAACCTAATTAGTGGTAGCTTTCTGCTAGCTCCCAACCTATTTTGTGGTAGCTTGCCTTGTTGGGAGTGAATTTATTAAATAAATTGAGTATTAAATATTTAAGGTTTTTACATCTTTCAATTTTACATTTTTAATGTATTATTTCAGTTTCTTTTTTTATTTAATAGAAAATCATTTATAATGTTAAAATAAAAAAGCTAAAAAAAAAAAAAAAATTAATAATAAAGAAAATAATAAAAAAAAATTTATTTAAAAAACTTTATTAGCTTAATTATGAATAATTGTAGTTTTCTTATTTTTCAGGAGTCTGCTGAGTTGTTTATGGAATGTCTAGATATTTGGATTATTATTTTGGACTATTTGATAAATAAAGTAACATCATGCATAACTGCAAATAATAAACTTTCTGTTATTCAACGGTAAAAGTTACTTATGTTGAATTTCTTATTTTATTATAATAATTATAATGATATAAATTTATTATATGAAAAAAATAAAATTATTATCTAAGTATATATTTATGAAAAAAAATTTGATGAGTTATTTTCTACTAATTTACTATTGCGCTGTTTTTTTAAAGAACATTGAGTGCTCTAATTTGTGTATTTAGAATTATGCATTTAAAATGCATAATTTAAAATTATTCATATACAGTTGCAACAATTTAAATAGCACACTTTCTTGACCAGTTGGTTTTTGATATCAAGTTTTATGTTTTTAAAGCAATTGTTTTTTTGTTTTTTATAGCATCAACAATGTTTACTTTTTTGAATGATACTCATTTGATACTTATAACTATCAAAACTGCTTGTTTTGAGCATTTTAGCAGTCGTGTTTATATTTTTGAGGTCATTTTTTTTAACCAAGTTTATTTTTTTACTCAGTAATATTATCTTTTAAAACTAATATTTTATAAGGCTAAAAAAGTTTAGATCTCAAAACTCAGATCTCTGGAAAATATCATTACATAATAAACATCAATTTTGTGCTATTTATTTTGTCACCACTGTATATATTTATACACACACATATATATACAATTGCCCCCTCATTAAAAAAAAAGGGACTAGATGGTGAGAAAGCAAACATTAGATAATAATGAATCTTTTTAGAAAAAAACAGGAAATATAATTAAAATTTTTTTGTTTTTCCGAACAACATTTAAATTTCATTTATAATTTTTTTAATAAAAATATTGTTTAATTTATGGATATTTAGACTTGAAATGATTTTTAACATGGTTTCAGATTAAATTTTATTACAATGTAGTACTTTAAAATACAACATTGTAACTAACAACTTAACTTTTAAAGATATAAATATGTATGTTGAGTAAAGTAAAAACTTTTCCACAACAAAATTTCATAACAATGCCTATATATATATACATATAAATAATATATATATATATATAAATATGTATGTATGTATGTATATATATATATATATATATATATATATATATATATATATATATATATATATATATATATATATATATATATATATATATACATATATATATATATATATATACAAGGGTTGAATTAACGCATCGCGATTTGCGATATCTGTTAAATTATCTGGTCTTCAAAGTTTTAGTTTATGGAACACCACGAAATTTACGGAATAGGCGAATAAACTTTAATTTGTTAGTGAAAATGTTATGAAAAACAAAACAATAAATTTATGACTACAAAAGTAATAATACTACAGTGCTGTTACTTTTATAACACTCTTTTATGTTGCATTTATAGTTTATTGTTTGATCAAACAACACATAATCAAGATATTATAAATAAAAATGATTTAATTAAGTAATTCCAAACTTTAATTAAAGTAGTAATGCATCTTGAAAAAATACAATAGATACTTAAACAATGTTAAAAACCTTAGCAACTTTTACTAATACATATTTTTATAAACAGTTTAGCATTTCTAAACATCTTACTAACGGTCCGGAAAAAACGCGCGTTCACTTTAAAATCATCCAATGAAAACACTGATAATTTACTTCTTAGGAGAAATCTATATTAAAAGGGGAGGGGAAGAGGCTAAAAACTTAAATTTTGTTTTATTATTTAATCAATTAAATCATAATAAAAGTAAAGACAAAAATATATATTTCTAAATATACTTCTTTATAACTAAAATTTATTAAATTGAACACCTCTGTTTTTAGTTTTAAGTAAATGTCAGTACTACTCTCAGTGGCGAAACTGAGAAAAATTCTCACCCCCACCTACCTATGTATTAAGCACATTAGAGTAGTCAGTAGCAAAATTCCCCCCCCTCCTCCGCACGATTTTTAAAATAAGCCCCACATCGCCCATATCACCTGCATGATATGGGCGATGTGGGCGATGATATGCATAATCACCTTGCAAACCAGTGCAACTAGCTACTTGTCCTGCTGCTTTGCACAATTTTTTGGAGAAGATAACTCTTTTTATTTAATAAACTGATAAAACTAATAAACTGATGTAAACCTGTGTTCATACCTAAGATAATGAACCGTAGTTAATTAGCAAAAATGAGACAAGTGTTTGTTATTTAAAAACATGAAATCTAACAAAATGAAATATATAAATTATCATTCCGCCAAATTGTTTTTAATTGCTTTTTACAAATAACTGAGGTCTTTAATTTAACTTTTTATCCATCGAATCTTACCTTCTGCAAAATTTATTAGACCTACATTTTACTTTTATATTTTTTACTTACTTTATATGAGATTAAAATCAGATATTTAAATTTCTTCAGTTAAGTCACATGCCTAAACTTGGCATATACTTACATATCAATTTACTTATTTGTTTTGAAATCAGGTTTGAATTCTTTGTCTATTCTATTGGGTGCTTTTGTTTAGAATTTTTTCAGTTCATTCTTTTTGTTTTTGTTGCTCTCCTTTGTCCCAAAACTTTCTTTAGTGTTGTCTCTGGTCAAGTTGACAAGAGATATTGTCTTTTTTCTCAGCCATTTTGTGACTGAAAGAAAGTTCACTTTTTTATTCATCAAATAATATTGATGCGAAAAGCATTAAAATCTTTTCTATGTGATCTAGACAACATTTTTGTGACAGTCTCACAAAAGTGTTCACTACTCTGCTCAATATTTTCTTAAGTATTTAGTAAGTGCAGAAGTTTGTATTCCTACCTGCTGGAAAACGACATCTGGGGTTGTGAGGCAAACGCAATTAATTTATTTTAAATTGTTTATTATAAGGCTTCTAACTTATGATAACTAAGGAGGTACAAACAACAGTAACTAAGGAGGTACAAACAACAGTAACTAAGGAGGTACAAACAACAGTAACTAAGGAGGTGCAAACAACAGTAACTAAGGAGGTACAAACAACAGTACTTTTGAAAAATATCTCCAGCTCTCAACTTTATGTGTTCTATATGATAAAACAATATTGGATTTAAAAGTTTTTTGAATAAAAAATATTTTTTAGGGGTGCCTCAAGACCCTTGAGCATTAAATGGACTCTTAATATTATTAAAAAAAAAAAGTTTTTCAAAAATATGTCTTGTTGGGTCTCAAAGAAAGCAAAGTTATATAAAAAGTTTAAAAATAAATGCACATTTTTAAACTTTTAAAAAATGCATATTTTTATTTTTAGTTGAACATTCATTTGAGACCCAACAAGATTTTCTTTAAAAAATTTTTTTTTGTTAATATTTGGAACCCATTAAGTGCTCAAGAGTCTTAAGGCATCCCTAAAAACATTTTTTTATTTGAAATAGCTTTTAAATGTAGATATATATTATATATATGTATGGATGTTTATATATATATATATATATATATATATATATATATATATATATATATATATATATATATATATATATATATATATATATATATATAATATCTAGATAACTGTTTGACAGCTGTATTGATATGCTATGATAGTAATATAATCTTAATTCATTTAAATCTTATTTTTATTTATATTGTACAGTCGATCTACACTTTTCACGTCATATCATTAAAAAAATATTAGTGTTTTACAAGTTTGGTAGGGTTGGGTTTTGCCTATTTGTAGTGAGTTCTTTTTTACTGCAGCATGGATAAGGCGTAAGTCGCGGGGTAAAGCACAAGTGGTGATGACGTTTGTCTGACGGGATAAACTAGTTATAAGTGATGATCCTCATCGAAACGCCTGTAATAATAGACGCGACTCTGAGGAGATCTTTATTACTTTATCACTACAAAATCAATCAACTCATTTTACAGCGATTAGACAGGATTGTTTACCATTTTAAAAAAGCATAGAAGGAATTGAATCATTTTTTTAAAATAATAGCAGATTTGCTCAAGAGATTTTAAGCAAATCTGCTCTTTTAAAAAATACTGATTCAATTCTGACCAATTTTTTAAAGACAAAAAAATAGCAGCGCAGAAAAAGCATGTGAACAATTTTTTACATTTTATGACAGCGCAGAAAAAGCATGTGAGGAAAAAGCATGACAGCGCAGAAAAAGCATGTGAACAATTTTTTACATTTTATCCTTATTCACACACAGTTCTTAAGAGTCAAATTTTTTAGGTATAATGATTTTCTGCAACAATTTTTGATGCAAATGTTACTCAAAGTTCAAAATGTTCATAACAATAAGTGGTTATCTCAACTGGATATGGAGAAAGTTGATAGTGATGTATGTTTTTTTTTTATAACTGTTACAATTTAATGATAATAGATTTATTTTGTTACTAAATAGAAAGATCTATTTAGGTTGAAACTGAATGGGAAAAGTTTATGAAATTATCACTTGATGTAATTGGGAAAGTATCAGAGCTCCTACCTGAAGAGACATATGATCAAGCGGTAAGAATTTTTTTATTTGTTTAATATTGATGTTTTCATACTTATGTGGTTTGGACAGGTTTCCATAATGTTATTTTCTAAATTAAATGACAAAATAATTTTTACTGGGTTTCATACATAGGATAGGTATTTTGTTATGAAATATATAAAAGTATTTAAAAAGTTCAAACTGTTAATTATTTTATAAAAAATGATTTTAGATTCTATGAAGGGGTTGGAGAACGCCTAAAAAAAATTTTCTTTAATTTTTTTTCAAAAATTTAGTTTTATTTATATAAAACATATTAAGGCTGCGAGATATTTTTAAGAATTGTTGTATTTTGGAACACCCTAAAATATAAAGATCTTTGCTTGGTAAGCTAAAGGGACTTTTACGGAAAAAAAGTTAAACTGTCACCAAAATCCTTTTTTACTGTTTTGGCTACTGACATTGAACCAGGTTAATATTGTTTCAAAATCTTTATTTGCTACATGAGGCAATGTACTAATGTTGTGTAAAAAGTACATATTGTATGAATAAGTATTATAAACAAAAATTTTACACCACACAGCTCTGTTCAAGTCATCAATAAAAGTAGCAGTGGACCCAAAATTAAATCCTCATGATATTGTTTCATCAGAAATTTGTTATTGTTTGATAAAAATGTTTACTATTAACAATGGTAATTAACATTTCAATTGTTTCATTGTTTTAAAAAGAAAGAAAAATGCATTGTTTAAAAAGAAAAAAAGTGCAATCTCAAATATGGTTTCAAATAATTATGGATTACAAAATAATAATAATAAAAAACTATCTAAGTTTTTATTTATTTATTAACAACATTAAATTATCATACAACAAAAAAATGACTGCCTATACAAAAATAATAGTTTTATATTAAAAAGGTGGTTAAAAATTACTAAACAAAAAAACTGTATTAATATATAATGACTGCCATGAAAAAAAAAAATGTTGTTTTCTATATTTTATGAAGATTTATTTTGAAACAAAGTTTTATACACACACATGGTGTTTATTATCTTGATATTTTGATTGTTTATAAATGATTATATACTTTTCATTTTGTGTCAATTTCAAAATATTTCAACAGATTAACAAGATAGGTATTTATTTGTTAAAGAATGGCTGGTAACATTTGTCATGGTTTTATATAAAAATCTTGCAACAGTTATACATAAAGTGATATTTTAAAATAAAGTTTATTTAAAATCAGGGTTTAGTCCCTTGCTTTTTATTAATTTTGTGAAGCTCTTTTTTTTAAAGAGTTTTCCATGGAAATTAACATGTAACTAAAAATCAAAAATTGTATAACTTTTTAATAGAGTGATCTATTTTTATTAATTTAAAAAACAACAAAGCAAGTCTAAATAATAAAATTAAATAAAATTATTTTATTTAAAATGTTTGAATATATAAAGTTTTTTCATGCCATGGCGATGTCATGGCAACATTAGCAAAGGTATGGACTTTTGATACAAATTCAAAACTTTTAGATGTCATGCACTTTATGTGAATAATGTGATGAAAGAAGATAAGGTCAGAAAAAGTTAATTTCATTTTATGATATTTTTCAATAAGTTTCTCTAATCTGACAAGACATATTAAAATTTGCCTGATGAAGCAATTTAAAAGTGAGAGATTCCGTATGGTTGAGAATGCAATTCAAACAAGTAATTTTAGCTTGAGTTCGTCTTTTCTTATCAACCTTAGATCATTTGATGCTTTATTTATGTTTAAAGAGTCCTGTAATATTAGTGTTGCTCAAATAAAAGTATGATTCGTTGTCAACAGCAACTATTTTTTTTCCAAAAAATCAAAATCTACAGCATTTCGAACAAACAGCTGCTTTTTGTGCCAGTATTCTAATACTTTATTTTTTTAATACTTATTATTATTAAACTTTATTTTTTTAAAAGATAACTAAAATTAGTTTTTTATTATAATTTTGAGAAAGCAAATCCTCCAAACTGTCTAGTATTAAAAATTATTGCAAAGTACTATGGGTAATTATTAGAAGAAGAAGAAGAAAAAAAAAACTATGCAGAAAAATTAAAGATTTAAAAATATCATTTAAAAAACATGAAATAGTTTCGATTGTTGTTCTGTGAGCAAGCTTATGATTGTTGTTCTGTGAGCAAACTTATGGGTAACACTAAAACAAAAGTTCTAAATTTTATTAGATACCCACAGGAATAAATGAACTTTTTCCAAATATATATATATATATATATATATATATATATATATATATATATATATATAATATATTAATATAACTCTTTATATAAATATATATATATATATATATATATATATATATATATATATATATATATATATATATATATATATATATATATATATATATATAATATATGTATAGAGCTATATTTGTAACCAAACAGGTGTGATTGCAAGCATATTAAATTATTCCTTTCAGATTTTTATAGTTGATAACATTTTATTCAGATTTATAGTTATCACATGTTATTCTATTGATTTGTTATTTTATGGTTTATGTTTGGTTGCAGAGACAAAAAAAAGAGCTCGTTAATAATACTATTAATAATATTACTTTCACGTCCTGGTGAATAAAAAAAAAGCAATTGCTTTTGCTCAGTGTTTTTTGAATAATTTTACGCAAATAAAAGTTTGTGCAAAAATGCTCAAATTTTTAGGCTATGCTATCTCAAACCCAATCTCTTTGTCAATGTATGTACAAAAGCCACCTCAAACCCAATCTCTTTGTCAATGTATGTACAAAAGCCACCTCAAACCCAATCTTTTTGTCAATGTATGTACTAAAGCCACCTCATACGCCTATTTTTATATAACATCAGTGCAATTTCATGAACAGCTAAAATGCTATGTATGTATTTATTTAAATATAAGTTGTCAATAAATTTATATATTATAATTTTTATTTTTAGTCTAACATTTTCAAACAAAATATAAATATTTATTTTGCCTTGTCATCTCAACTGCATAATGGAGGTAGTTTAGTTGTTTTTGTTATTTTTTTTTTAAAATCTTTCTTATAACTAATAATTACAGAGGTTGTTACAGGCTTTTTCATAATGTTTTCTGGCAATTAATCATTAAATTACTAAACATAGTTAAATAAGTTATAGCTTTAAAGCAATTGTTATGTTGTTATGGTTACATTATTTATGTGTATAAAGCAATAGTTATGTAAGTGGTTCCATTATTTATGTATATGAAGCAATAGTTGTGCAAGTGGTTTCATTATTTATGTGTATGAAGCAGTAGTTGTGCGATTCAAAATCTAAACATTTATTTTGATCCATATTTTTTCAAAATTTTAATTTAATTATAGATTTTAAACAACCTTAAAACAGTTTTTTGAACAACTCAATCTTTTAATTTGTTAATTTTTATGAGAAAATTAGGAAAATTGAAAAATCTGATACTACACAAATTAGAATGAGGGGGTGCAGAAAAGGGGTACATTTCTTACATAAAATACCTACACTTTTCACATTAATTTTTTTGTACACATATTTTATGCATCTAAGCTTTGGTCACCTATGCCCTTGCACCCTTATTTTTTTGAAATAATTTATTTTAACACGTTAGTTTAGATAAATAAAAACTTTCTTATTTAGAATTAAAAATTAGTCAATCAGAAGTCCAAAGGTTGCACTTATCAATGGTAGATCTAAGCACATTTTTTAGAATTATGGGTAGGCTTTCATCAATTTTTACTGAAGAAGTGAGCTTTCAAAATCGATTAGGGCAGGCTAATTCAACACTAGATGAGTAAGTTACAAGTTTATTCTTAGTATTTATTTTTAGGGTTTTTAATAAATAATTAAAAAAAAATATTTATAATTATTTTTTAAGATTTTGAATAAAATAAATATGCATACCTTGTTTTATTATGTTTACACAAGTGTATAACTGTTGTAAGCTCAATGCAACTAAGGCATAGAACAAATAAACTCGTAAAAAAAAGCAGATAATTTAAAACAAATCCGATTGGTTGTTAGTGGCAAACCGAAAAACTTTTTATTTATTGGTATATAATTTATGCAAACAAAGAATTCGAGTTGAAAATAATTTATTTATAAAGTTTACTGCTTCTGTTTTTTAATTGTTTACGCATTCTGAATGGAATAATTTTTTATTTCAAGATGGTCGAATAAGTCCTGAGTATTTCAAAATATGATACTAAATACCGAAAACAATTTTTTAAGTGTGGCTAAAAATTATGATTATTTATGCAAAAACGACTTTGGTAGAAAAATTAACACTACCATAGATTATCTAAATCTAACATGACAATATTATTAAACATACTCATTTAGGTGTGGTAATGAAAATAATAACTTCAATTTTCATAAAAAAATGGTTTTTCATGGATAATTTTCCCAAATTATGTCTGATTAGAAATGTCAAGTGACATTCGTTGAAAACAAACACCAATGCTTTGAAAAAATCAAATTCACAGATTTATCTATAGCCAAACCCCAAGGTACTTTATGTTAAAAATTGCATCTTTTCTAAATAAAACAACGCTTGACGATCTGTTACAGTCGCATTACTTTTACCAGATTATAATAGTGGTTAAAATCTTTTCATACATACCAAATACTTTTTGATGAAAAAACTTACATATATTGCAATTAAAAAAACTTTTATTTTTGTTCAGAAAAAGGTGTACCATGCTTTAGTTGGATTGAGAGTAAGTACATACCTATCCTGATTGACCTTGAAGGGCTTGACCCAAGCATTAGCCAAATAGCTTTTATTTATAGCCAATGCTCAGATGAAATAAACTTTTCTTCAAATTTAATTACAGTTTTTATGTTCTTTATTTTTATTATTATTATTTTCATATAATGTTGTGTAATATTTAATTGTGTGTATTTAGACTTCTAAAAGGCTCTCTATTTGGAATGTATTATAAAATATTCTTGGTAAACTGTGATTCTGTACTATCAAAAGATTTCATTGAGGTGTAAGTTTGTCATAAAATATTTGAAAAGTTTTAAAAATAATTTTAATTTAAAGGTGACTTTCAATTGTGATAAAAATATATATAAAAGGTTCTATGGTAAAAACTTTATGGTTCAAATTACTTAAAGATTATAACTTCTCTTCTGTTATATCCTTTGTTAAAAAGTTATAACTTTTCTTCTGTTATATCCTTTGCTAAAAAATTATAACTTCTATTTTATTGAATATTATAACTTCTCTCTTGTTAAAGATTATAAGTTCTCTTGTGTTAGGGATTGTAACTTCTTTTCTGTTAAAGATAATAATTTGTCAAATATTCAGTTCAAACATTTTCTCATGAGTTGTTGAATAAATTTTTTTAATTTTGTCTAATTACAGTATTTTATATTGTTGCCATTGTATGAATTCTATGTTGCTATGAATAACATTTTCTTAGTTCAAGTTTTCTTTATTATAGCCAATCACAAGCTATTGGTTCTGTACAAGCATATTGTTATTGGCTTTCAAAGTTACACTTGCTTGTAATTAACAACGAATCTCATTCAGAAATGTTTAAAGATATCATATCTACTATATTAGATGTTATATGTTCTGCTATAGAGCCACAGGTAAAATATTTTTAGGTTTAAAACAGGTAAAAAAAAAGTTTTAATCTTACTGGTTTTAACTTGTAACAAAGATTTCTTTTAATGGTTTATTTACTATTTTTTATTTTATTTTATATTTTATTTATTATTTATTTAATTTAACATCTATTAACAATTTAATTTCTTTTATCTTTAATATTTATCTTTAATTAAAATATTTTTTTGGTTTAGTTGCCTAGAAAAATTCAGTTAGCTGGTGCTCAGCTTTTGTTGTCATTGTCAGCAACAGTACGACCACGCTTCTTTTTATCTCTTAAACAAGTTCAAAAGTTATTTTCAGAAATAGACAAGATTCATGAATTGACTGATGAAAATGTGAGACCTTTGTTTTAATGTTTAACATTTAAAAATTTGTGTTAAATCGGTTATTTATCAGTCAAGTTTTTTTATGACTTGTATTGTAGTCCATCAGTCAGGGCTATCAGTTGTGAATTTGAATTACAAATCTTTTAAGTTTAAAATTTAGTTATTTGAATTTGATTTAGCTATAGTTTTAATTGATAAGTTTAATTCTATTTTTTTTTTTTTTTTTTTTTGATTTTTAAAATATTCCTACATATATGGAAAAGTCCTTTTGCTGCATTTTATTAATACCCAGTTGTTTTTATTGGTATTTTATTAATAAGTTTTCATTTTTGTTTGTTCAGTTTTTATTGGTAAGCTGTGGGTTTTTAGGAATGTCTTTTTAAAAAAAAAAAAAAAAATCTGTACTAATTACCAGAACACAGTTTTTGAGACAATAACCAAAAGTTGATTTTAAAATAAAATATGGTTATTCAATATTTTGTCCTGGTTATAATGTTAAATTGATATTATATTGTGGCAGGTGAGGCTCCCTTAAGGAGAGGCTCCAAAGCCATTGAAGGTAGCTTATTTAGGAGAAGGAAAACGCTTAGGTATGAAGAGTTTGCAAACCTTTGGGTGATAATCTTCTAAGTAGTAATATTACAATAAACTCAAACTTTTAAAAAAAAATATGTATATATAAACACTATAGCTTATACAATGTATGTTTCACACTCAATATTAAAAAATGGTATAGCCTATCATTTTGCCATAAAATGATTTTTTCCTAATAAAACGTCAAAAACATGCTTTTAGTGATGTTTTTTGTAGCCTAAAACCAGTTCATATGTGTGTGCGTGTGTGTGTGTGTGTATATCAACTATTAGGCTGTTTGTATTATGTTAATATGTGAAGGCTGAGTGTGTATATATCATCTATTAGGCTGGCACAGATGTATTTTTTTATTTTTTTTTATTTTACTTCACTTCCTCAAGGCCGAGAAGGCCACTACAGACGAGGAGGCTACATATTTTGTGGCTATAACCCTCTCTCAACTCTATAACTCCGAAACACGAACCTTGACAAACAAGGCCGCTGTGCGGAGAAACGAGTTGAGCGCGGTACTACCAGGGACGTGGTGGGGATCGAACTCGGAACCACTCGTTTATGAAGCGAGCGCTCTACCACTACACACAGTTTAGGATGTTGATTGGTGGATCTTTTTGACTCAATGCATGGGCTTTGCTTGTGTTTCTATTTTTATGGCTAGGCAACTAATTCTATTATCTCCTAATGAAGATATAGCTCTAAAACTCAGTTTTATCGTTCTGAGGCTGACTGGTAGTCAGGTTTCCTGAACTCTGTGGTAGCTCTTAGAGAGGCTGATTCCATCAACAGCTAAAAAATATCAAAGTATTAACAGTGCCATGTTGCTCAATGGTTGGTGTCCCTGCTTTTACTTTTGGTGTGCATTGCCAAGGTCACATTAGAGCCCTTTGTTATGGCTTAGGATATATTAAAGTAACAAAAACTGCCTCATCTTGTGATCTAAGTGTTGATGGTTATCTTCCTTTAATTCCTAAAGACTCCAATAGACACATGCTTCACCTAGGCATTTTACATTCGTAAGAATTCACCCATTTGTGGGGAAACTAGGATTGAATCCACAGACTACTCTTTTATGTGCTTTCGTTTAGCACCACTTCACTCAATTGTCTTTCTCTTTATTCTATATCACTCTCCTTCATCTCAAGACTGCACTCTTCTTGATGTTATTTCTGATCATATTGACCAAGCCCTCTCTATTTATCCATCAGCCAATATTGTTGTTGTTGGTGAGTTTAATGTTCATCACACTGAATGGCTTGGCTCAAGTGTCCGTGACTCTGCAGGCATTAAAGCCCAAAACATTTTGCCTTTCTCAATCCCTAACTCAAAAAGTCAACTACCTTAAAGCTGACTATTTTATTTCCGTGATTTTCTTCGTGATTTCTTCCTGTTGACAAATGTACTTCTTACATAACTGCGTGGGTTCAGGTTGACATGGAATTGTTTATTCCCTCTCGACGATTCCAGATCAAGCCTCACTCTTTTCAATGGTTTTCCTCACATTGTGCTACTGTAATTGCCAATCGAAACCATTATTTTCATATCTATCAGCAAAACAATTCTCTAGAAAACAGGCATCTGTTTATTATTGCTAGGAACTATTGTAAAAAGGTTTTGGAATATAATAATAACTCGGAGTCTTTCAATTATACGTCGCAATCTACAGACTTTGGCGATTTCTTTGAAGCGCGTTTAATTCGTAAAAATTTTAGTATTTGATGTCTCGGTAGACTTTAGACAAATGAAACACTGGAAAAATTTTAATTTTTTTTTATTCATAAATTTTTTTATTATTTGTTTAGTTATTTATTTTCTACTTTTAAAAAGATATTAAAAATCTTAAATATTTTATGCTGGTTCGTTGCTATAAATTGTTATCGCGCTATATTTAATGTTATTAAACAATGAATATTTACTATCAATCTTTCTGATTCTGATAAAAAATTGTTTTTTATTAATTAGTCGTATAAAATTAGTAGCAGCATTTTTAATTGGTTAGACAACATTTTATCTGAATTTGCTTATAATCTTGTCGCAATATATTTAAGCAAATGATATTAATGATGGGGGTACTAAAGTCTTTTTATAACAAATTTAGGTAAAAAATAAATAATTAATTAAAAAGTCCAACATTTAAAAGCTTTTTTTTATTATATTGCAACTGTAAATATTAAATTATTAACTTGAACTAAATTTAATTATTATTTAAAACTACTAAGCAATAAATAAAAATCCCGTATAATTATGAGATATTGTGTTGTTTATTTGATTATTGTTGTTGTTTATGTTGTTTATGTTGATTATTTTCATCAATATCAAAATAGTCCCAGATTAGACTGTTAGTTGCTTTACTCACTGTTGATTTATTTCTAATTTAATTTTATCTTCAAGTTTAATTCTATGTTAAGAAAGAAAAGTTTTTATTTCATCGCACGCTCTTTTTATAAAAAACAGTAGAACAAATGAGAAAGAAAAGTTTCATGTAATTAAACTTTAAATAAGAATTGTTTGGAATATATTTTTTTGCGTCACTTGTTCTTTATTTAGATAAGAGAAATAAAAGTTTAATTTTTTTCTTTGTTTAAACTTTTCTTTGAATAAATGGAAGTTGGAAGAGAAAATTGCTTGAAAACTTGTATTTGTCAATTTTGTTAGTTTTTTAATTTTCCATGTTAAGAGACAAATCCCAAATACGACACATAAATTGGGAAATATTAAATATAATATGTTTTTTAACGCTCGTTACGATATTTTGACAATTTAAACTACCATCTACCTTGAATTGCCATTAATTAATGTGTTAATTATAGCGTTAATTGCAGAGCAATAATAATTTAGTAAAAACACTGGAACCATAATTAAAGATAGTAGGAAATGGCTGATAAATATATGTATATATATATATACAAATATATATATATATATATATATATATATATATATATATATATATATATATATATATATATATATATATATATTTTTTTGTATATATATATATATACATATATTTATCAGCCATTTCCTACTATCTTTAATTATGGTTCCAGTGTTAAATAATTCTTATGATTAAATACATTTTATTTGTAATATTTTCTTTAGATATTTGCTTCTTTAGAAATGCCCAAACATTTTCTATAGGATTTAGATCAGATAAGTTTCCTGGCTAATTAAGTAATATTCTGTTCTGATAGATATTTTTAAATTGATTTACACTGCCCTGCAAAAGTTTCCGTTCACTCTGTTTTTTGTAAAAAAAATATATAAAAAGTTAACTAACTACAATTAACCAAATATAATTACAAATAATTACAAACTAATCAACGTCTTTAAACCTATGATAAAAATAAACAAGTTCATGCAATCAAAAGTTTTTTTTTTTTTCATCAAAAAATCCACTCTTTCCTTACTGCACAAACAAGTTTTGGCATACATTTGATTAAATTATCCAAATAAATTGAAAAAATATTATTCCACACTCGTTGCAAAATTGACCATTAATGAGTTATTGATGTAGGACACTCTTTTCTTTTGTTGTTCTCAGAGTAACTCCATTGGGTTGAGATCAGGGGATTGTGGGGGCCATGTCATAACTTTGAGTTCTCCACGAGCTTCCTTTTTTTGCAAATAGTTTGTACAGTATTTAGATGTGTGTTTTGGATCATTATCCTGTTGTCTGGTGAATTCGTGGCCAATTAGATGCTTTCCACAAGGCATGGTATGTCTACATAATATCTTATGATATCCGTTCTTATAGAATTCCATCTATTTTCACAAGATTACCAACCTGATTAGAAGCAAAACAGCCCCAAACTATTACTGTACCTCCACCATGTTTGACAGTAGACTCTATACACTTTGGATGAAATCAGTTGCTGTTCGTCGCACATAAATCCGTCGCTTTGTTCCAAAAACAAGAAATTTAGATTCGTCTGTCCACAATACATTTTGCCAGCCTATATCGGTCCAACTTGAAAGTGTTAGGGTCCATTGAAGTCCTTTTTTTCTGATTTATTGCTTTTAGCAGAGGTTTTCGAACAGCTATTCTAGCATTTTTCTAAACTTTTAATCTAAAAATAGTAAAAATGCACATTTAAAAACTGGAAATTAAAAAATAATATCAAATTTAATTCAGCTATACTAAGTATTTACTAAATTTATTTATTAATCCAATGTGTTATATTAAATTCAACAAAATTATGCTTTGATGACAAAAGAACAGTTAAATTTTATTTACAAGTTTTTTACTAAGTATGTTTGAGTATGTTTATAATATATAGATTTTGCAATACAATATTAAAAACACATAAGCACATCTTAATTGAATTATTTTATGGCTTATAAACAATTTGAAAATTCAATATTAATTATTACAGATTTATTTAATACATTAGCATATCTTAATCAAATTATTTTATGACTTATAAACAGTTTTAATAGTTATTATAGGTAAAAAACTATTAAATTTTTAAGTGACCAGAAATTTTTGCCAGGCAACGTAGCTGTGTGATGTGGTGCCCCATCCTGCATGAAGGGTTTTTAATCATCTGGATTAAACCATTCTGCCAATAGTGGCTATGATCTTTGTTTCAGGAATTTTTTTATATTGCAACTGATTCATTATTTCCTCAGCAATATAGAGCCTCTCTATTCCCCTTCCACATATCACTGACCAGTCCATTTCAGGTTATGGGGTGAACAGTTTGAATGATGCAGTCCGATAAGCATTTTCCCTTTTTTTCTTTTTATTTATTGAGTCTTCTTTGTTTAGACTTGGAAAGTACTCTTATGATGTAAGAAAGTGAATATTTTAAAATCATCTGAATTAGTTTTACCAATTTCCAATCATCTTTCGTTAAATTCCTGTACATTTTTGCCCACATAACCACCATATATAATGGTTATTTTTATGAAGTGAGTACTCCACTACTACCGCATGTGAACAAACTTGCATACGTGTGAGCATGAAAAAAAAAAAAAAATTGTAGCATGATACTTTTCTATATTTATAGATACTTTTTTGATGATTGATATTTATACTTTTTTGATGATAGATATTGATATTTATAGATACTTTAGCTTTGTTCACAGTTATCAGATATCAGTGTTGTAGTGGCTTTAAATCTGAAATTTTGATCTGTTTCTCTCTTTAAGTGATAGGACATTTGTTTAGAGAACCATTAATTATAGCAAAATTATTTATTAAAACTTGAAAACTGCTTGAATGCTGATAGAGTACCCCATTTTTGCCTTGTTTATTTCATATTTTCATAAACTTGTTGAAAGCAACTTAATGGCTTGTTTATTTCTTGTTTTAAGAAATTTATTTTCAACATTGTTTAGGACAACTAAATGACTTGTTTATTTCTTATTTTAGAAATTCGCTAGGAGTGTCATTACATTGACTAAGGTTTTGGGCTGGGACAGCAATCTTTTTTTTCATAGTGAAAACAATAAAATTATATTAGTAATTAATTAGATTAGATTAATATTCATAAATGATCTCACAGTTTTAATTGTTATTTATTTTAATTGTTTTCAAACTTTCTTTTAAGATTCTGTTATATTTTAGCTTTTGAACTGTTTTAAAATTTACAAGTTATATTTTTTTGTTTAGGTAAAGAACACAATCTTTAAAGGTCTATCTAACTCTTTAACTTTGCCCTGGCCAGTTACTAATTTACAAGTAAATTTTATTATTTTTATAAATCTTTCACCTTTTGTAGTGTTTTTTTAAAACTGTCGTAGTTAGTGAGATTTTTTGTTTATAAAGATATTTTTTAGTAACTTTAGTGTTTTTTAATAATTTTTTATATGCACTTGCAGGTTGAAAAGTGGGTGTGTCACACTTACTTCTCAACCTGCAGTGTATTTCTTACCACACAAATTATATTTAGTTGCACCACAGCTTTTTAGATGTTTTTGAGAACATTCAAATATATGTATGCTTCCATGTATGTCCGAAAATTTTTAACAAGCTAAAACAATTGATTTTGTAAATAATCAAATATTTTTTTATTAGCCAAGCACTTTTAAACTAAGTGACAATTTACTTTTATTGATTGTTTATAAAATGAAAAATTTTAATTTTATTTTTTAAATTATATAAAGTCAATTAAGTTTTATTAAACTATATAGATAATTATATATATAAAAATCTAGATTAATTAAAATATAGATTAAATTTTTATTCTTTAAATGTGAATCTTTAAAAAAAAAAATTTTCAATCGATTTTATAAAAACAAGATTTTTAACAACAACTATGTTTTGTTTTCAATATAATTTAAAAAATAATAATCATCAAAGTTAATAAAATCAATAATCAAATAAACATACTGGAGCTTACAGGCAACTGAACAAAAACATACATATATACATAGTGAATTATGAGTGGATGAAAACTGTGTTGTAAGTCACTTTATATAAATATTTGTGTTTTGTTTGAGGATCGAACATAACACATACATTTATATAAAGTGACTTACGAGTGAACCAACACAGCGCCATAGGTCCATACAAAACGCAAACATACAAATATAAAAAGCCCATTCACTAAACATCATCAGTGATATTGTAAGACAGTTCCGCTTCCTCTTTATAAATATTTTTTACCTTTTTAGTTTAGCCATAAATAGTATGCTTTATAATAGTTTGATGCTATAAAAACTTGCTTCTAGTTTGCAAAAGACAAAATAAAATTATAATTTACTTAGAATGTAGTATGCCCTTTATATATTAATTTATAATATATATTATAGTATAATAAACCGATGGACTTAAGTAAAATATAAAGTTATTAATTTGGAAACTGATCATTATAGACTGATGTTTTAGGGGTCTGGTGCATTGTGGAATTATTTGAAACAAAGATGCTGCTAGAAAAAAGATCTATAGTAAATGAAACAATAATTACTTAAGAAGAATTGTTTCTAGTATTTTAAACTTTGCAAACTACGTAAAACATGAAATGATTATAAAAAAATATTTACTTCTTTATTTATATAATTCAAGTACTGTCAGTTTTATTAGAATCTTACTGAAATAAAACATAAATACTTAAATAAAGAATTTACCTTTTTCATAAATTGAATGTTTTTTTCTTTACTAAACAATCATTAATTGTAAGTTGTTACTTTTTATAAAAGTGTTGCTTAATTTTATAAAAAATTCTAAAAGAGAAAAGTGTAGAAATTTCTTTTAAACATAATTTATTTTAGTTGAGTTTTTCCTTTGTTAAGAATTTATTTCTTTTTTTAGTTAATTTTTCAAATAGCTGTCTTCTGTCAAGTTTTTTTTTGCGCTTTTTGAAATGTTCTTAAAACATCTAAAAAGCCATTGCCATTTTGGCGCAAATAAATATTATATTTGTGATCAGATATAGAGAGTGATCACACCCGCTTTCTAACCAAGCCTGTAATAATTGAAATATTTTTAAGTTTTCCATGTTCATCTTTACTCAATTTTACACAGCTGAGTAAATTTCTGAAAATACTTCTTTTCAACATTAATTAACAATAAATATTCTTGAATTATATTAGTTTTCAATAAAATATAATTATTTAAATTAATTACATATTTATATATATATAAAGATATATATATATATATATATATATATATGCATATATATGCATATATATATATGTGCATATATATGTATATATATATATATATATATATATATATATATATATATATATATATATATATATATATATATATATATATATATATATATATATATATATATATATATATATATATATATATATATATATATATATATATATATATAGGTTTTATCTTGCATTAAATAAAGGTGGAGAAGTTAAGGCCATCGCTCTTGACATTTATAAAGCGTTTGATAAAGTTTGGCATGCTGGTCTTCTCCATAAGCTTTCTTCTTACGGTGTATCTGGAAACATCTTTAAGATTATTGAATCCTTCCTTTCCAATCATAGTATAATAGTTGTCCATGATGGACAGCACTCTTCTTCTTATTCTGTAACCTCAGGGGTTCCTCAAGGTTCAATCCTTGGCCCTATACTCTTTTTAATTTACATTAACGATCTTCCAGATATTCTCACATCTAAGGTGGCATTGTTCGCTGATGATACTACCATTTATTCTTGTCACGATAAGAAGCCAACTCCCTCTGATTGCTTGCAGGGGGCATCTGAGCTTGAAAAGGATCTCACTTCTGTTACAGCATGGGGCTCACAGTGGCTGGTAAACTTTAATTCAGATAAAACTCAATTTTTTTCAGCCAATCGTTATCCCAATAATTTAGACCTTCCTATATTTATGAAGGGTAATGTACTCGATGAGTCTCCTATCCTTCATCTTCTAGGATTAACTCTTACTTCTGATCTTTCTTGGAAACCTTATATCAAATCCGTTGCAAAATTAGCATCTGCTTAAGTTGCTTCTCTTTATCGAGCTTGACACTTTCTTACTCTGGATTCTATTCTCTATCTCTATAAATCTCAAATCCGGCCTTGTATGGAATACTGTTGCTATATCTCGGCAGGAAAAAATAAGCACAAGAGCGGAGAAAAGCTCTCCTAAAACGAACTTGGGGAGCTGTGCGAGCTGCTCCTCATATAAATCGGCGCCTTTTTTAATTTTAGTTTTTTTTTTGCAACAACCTTGCTTTTTAAAAAGCATTGCAGTTTATTATGCAATTAATTTTTTGTTAAATAACATTGTGTTTTTTTTTTTAGTTTTAATGAGAATTTTACTTTTATGAGAAAAGTTATACTTTTATGAGAAAAGTTATACTTTTGCGAGAGCCATAAATTGTTAAATCTTATTCTTTGAAAAACTATAAATTTTAAACGATATGCGATATATTTAAATTTTCTTTTATAATATAAATCAGAGATATATACATTGAAACTATATTTTACTTTCAATAATTAGGGAGGAAAAATTAGAAAATCCGCCCTGTTGCCAGGGCAGATTTTCTAATGGTGCTCTTTCTCTTTTAGACAAGGTGCAAAAATGCATTGTAAACATAGTTGGACCTGCTCTTGCAGCCAACCTTCAACCTTACTACAACATTACGATGATGTCACATCGTCGTAATGTTGCTTCTCTTTCTCTTTTCTACAAATACTATAATGGGCACTGCTCTAAAGAGCTAGCGTCTCTTGTGCCATCTACTAAAATTCATTCTCGTGTTACTCGTCATTCAATTAAGTCTCATCCTTTTTCTGTTACTGTTCCTAAGTGCTCCAAAAACTCTTACTCATCTAGTTTTTTTCCTCGAACATCAGTTCTTTGAAATTTGCTTCCTTTATCTTGCTTTCCTGATTCATATAATTTGCTATCTTTTAAGTCGTCTGTCAATTGTTATCTTGCTCTACAATCTTCATCTTTTCTCTTCCAGTAACTTCCAACACTAATTAGTGGTTGCTTGCAGCCTTGTTGGAAGCGAAGATGTTCAAAATATATATATATATATATATATATATATATATATATATATATATATATATATAGTATATATATATATATTAATTAGAATTAGAATTAATTCTATTTAAAACATCCATTTTAACAGACACTTTAAGTAATCCTGCTCCTTTAATATTCTTTAATATTCTAAGTATTGATGGGTACTACCCTTTGATTCACAAAGACTTTTAAAATCACATGCTTGAGTTATATTAGGCATCAATTTACTTGTTTGTCAAGAAATCAAGTTTGAATCCTTTGATCACTCTTTAATGCGCTTCCTCTCAACACCTCTTTGATCTATCACTTTTTTTTCTCCTTTTTCTCAAGACTGCACTTTTTTCTGATCAAATTGATCATGCCTTTTATCTTTACTTCTCTGCCAATATTATTACTATTGATGACTTTAATACTCAATGCATGCAATGTCTTGGCTCTAACATCACTAAACCTGTTGGTATTAAAGTCCATAGCTTCTGCATTTCTCATCTCTTACTCAGATAGTTAACTTTGTGACTGGTTTTCCAGACAACCCTAATCATTTAACTTCACTTCTTAATTTGTGTCTTTTCACTGACCCCCTAGTTTGTGTTCAGTTTTTCCTTGTTCTGCTTTAGGTGGTTTCAACCATGCAATGATCTCTATAAATCTTTCATCTTGTACTTCTTCTTCGGATGCACCCTATCATCGCAATACTTACTACTATCCTAAAGTTGACTGGGATTCTTTTCGTGATTAGCTTTGTGACTTTTTTCCTTTTCTAAAGTTTTTTCTCAATTAAACTTTTCTACAGCTCCAGACTGAAGTTTTGAAACTCTCTTCAATTTTCTCTGAACTATTTATTAAGTGCTTGACTGAATCTTATTTTCCTACTTGGTGAAAAATGATATTTTCCTGCTTGGTGGAAATTGATAAAAATGAAATGGTTCCAATTTTTGTAAACTCTTGAGAATGTTCTGACCCCTCCAACTCTCTTCCAATCAGTCTTCTATCTGTTATTACCAAGGTATTTAAGAGTTAGATCAACAAATTTCTCATATCTTATTTCAAGTCAAGCCTTACTGTCAGACAATCAGTATGGTTTTTAATTCTTTTGCTCTATAACTGACTTGCTAAATGTAGTGACTGAAAATTTTTATTGTGCATTAGTTGGAGAAAGTGAGGCTAAGGTATATGTTCTTAAGGTATATATTTCTTTCTAACTGCTTGATTAAAGCCATTCTTAAAGGCATAAACTCTTCTTATTTTTCAGTAACTTCTTGGGCTCCACAAGGTTTTATCCTTGGTCCTGTTTTTCAGTAACTTCTTGGGCTCCAGAAGGTTTTATCCTTGGTCCTGTTTTGTTTCTTATCAACATTAATTGATAAGCTCCTCTTTATCATGCTCACCATTTTCTTACTCCTGATTCCATTCTCTACCTCTGCAAATCTCTTAGATGTCCCTGTATAGAATACTGTTGACCTGTTTGGGCTGGTTTTTATAATGATTCTCTTTCTCTTCTAGACAATTTCTAAAAATTTAATTTTTAGTATTGTATGAGGTATAATATAAATATTACATTTATATTATACCTTATACATTTGTAGTATTGAACATTTAACATATAAACACATATTATTTAAATTATAAACATAGTATTATTAAACATTTTTTTAAATCGCAGTAATTTTTTCAATCATTTTTTAAATATAATTCATTCATTGTTTTCATGTAACTTTAGTAAAGAGTTATCAGTATTACAACAATATGGGATCAAAGCATGCCTCTGTTCAAATATTCTTTCAAACATTCATTTTGTTATGATGTCTTGTTTGAACCTATTTTCTTGCACTTCATACTTTATATAACCTTCATATGAAACCAGAAAATGATTAAAAATAGACTATTTCGCTTTTACAAGTTGATATTCTTTTAATATATATCTGGACAAATACAGTTCAACACAAGTTATAAAGTGTGTAAACATTACTAAAAACTTTTGTAACTTGCTGCTTTTATTATTAGCTGAATTAACTCTAGCAACTAAACTAAAATAAGAAAATCATTCATAAAACTTTGAATTGTTTCACATAAATTTTGGCAGTATGTGATAAAATAGGTTAACAAACCTGAAGAATTGCTGATTTTTGAATAAAGTTATTGGTTAATCAATGAACTATCAAGCTAAGAAATGAGCATTTTCCGTTGGTAGACGTCTATTCGACAGTTGTAAATAAAACAGTTGAAATACCCTTTAGTTCATTTTGGATTTTTTGGATGTCCTTGTTGTATATACTTTGAAATACAGAGTTTTTAAATAAATTTTCCACTTAGAATGCAATAGTTAGAAAATCAGCAAATCAATAAAAAAAGGACTGATGCCAATGTTGATTGTAAAATAAAACTGGTCGATTATGTTGATGTCAATTGATTGGTACAAAATATCATTTATTATATTAATATATTAATTATACACTACAAAAATTATTTCAAAATATCCATAAAGGCTAAACTAGAGTCTTTTCTTTTAATTAAAATGTCATCAATTTATTTTTTATCAAAATTTTAATCACATTGTGGCACAACTTTTAAAAATGTCCTCAAAATCCATAAAGAAATAAAAAATGATGATTCCTCAATTGTTACACAATGAGAATAAAGATGCTGCAGCTCAACTGGTCCCAGAAAACCTTGTTGTACCAGTCAAAAGAAAGTGTTTCTTGAAGACAAATTGTTTTGCCCTAAAGAAATTGTTTTGCTTGCATTTACTAATCATAACGAGTCCACTAAAGAGACATTAATGTCTTTGGTTTCAAAAATCAGATAGAAAAAGCATACAAGTTGCAGAATGAAAATGGAGAATGCTTCTTGAAAAGAAGATTTTTTTAGAATTTATGTATTGTGAGATTTGCTTCTTGACATTGGTATAAGCAAAATAAAATTTGACAATAGAGAGAAGCAAAAAGCGGCTAATGCTGCGTTAATGCCACTTTAATGATAAAGTTTAGCAATATAATTTGATAAAGAAACTTGCATAGAAACAAAATCTTATGTTGGATATTTCATTATGAGCAGTACTTCATGAAATAAAGCCTTCTTAAAAGCTAAAAATGCTAAAAAAAAAAAAGCAATTGCTAGACATAAATGAGACTATTTTGTTAGTTCAAAGTTTGGCCGAGTCTATGACTTCTGTAGATTTCTTATTGCATAAGTGTATTTCTGCCCTTTCACTTATACTCAAGTTCTTTTGCATTTTTTTGTGCAGTAGAGTGAAACTGGAAATTTACATAACCAAAATGGCAACTTTAAAATGAATATTTATGCAATTATAGTATGTTTTATGTCTAAATTTTTTTTCTTCTATAAAATTTAATTAACATGATATAATAAACTAATACTTGATGTTTTAAAAATACTTAAAAATATTTAAAGAAGAAAAAATGTGGTCTGCTAATAAATAATGTACCAAAAAATATTTTTGTCTTTAATGCACTTTCTATAATATTGTGGAATATTAAAAAAAACTTTTAGAAAACTTAAAAATTTAAAATTTAAAAGATGTTGGTATGAAAAAAATTAATGTATGGAATTTTTTAAACTTAGAAACAATTTAATTTAAAGTTTAAACACTTCCAATGTAAACATTGGAAGTGTTTAAACTTATAATTTATTTTATTTTACAAAATCACTAAAAACAAGCTTTTTGTAGCATTTTTCTTTTGTTGTTCTGGGGCTTAAAAACTTGAAAGTCAAAAAAATAGTTTTTAAAGTATTGAACTTTAATATATAAAATTTTTTAATCATTTACATTTTATGCATTGAACTTTTTATTTTCATTTTATTTTTATTTCTTACCTAAAATCAGAATGTCAATGGTTGGAGATGACGTTTCACAATACTTAATAATATGTTTTTTTGCTATTAGGAATGGGATGTAAGAGAGGCAACTCATAAGATGTTAATTTCAAATATTTGCAAAGATTTGTATGTTGATCAGTCAGTTTCTCAAACAGTTAGGTGTATGTTGTTTTGAATCTTTATATTAACCTTTTATTTGCTTTTTTTTACATCGTCTAAAAAAATGATTGCTAAAAATTGTTTTTGACTAAGTTTATTTGCACCTTATAATAATCATCACTTTAGTTTGTTACCACTTTATAATCGCTAATTAATAAAAAACCACTTTTAAACAATAAACCACCATTTCTAAGTAATTAACCACCACTTTTAAACAATAAACCACCACTTTAAGTAATAAACCACCACTTCCAAATAATAAACCACCACCTTCAAGTAATAAACCACCACTTCTAAACATTAATAAACCACAGTTTACAACATTTTTTTAAACAGAATTTTATTTAGATAATTAATAAACTATTTTTTTTTATTGTTTAGGGAAGGAGTCTGTAAAAAACACATTTTGTATACTCAGTGAAGTTGTTGAATCAGTTTCAAATGAAGGAACTCAAAGCAGAAGAATAATATATCTTTCATTAAAAGATGTTCTAGATTTATCTCTTAAAATACTAGTAGCCTTTGCAGCTGAACCAGGTTTAATTAAGTTTTGATGTTTTTAAAGTTTTTACTCAGTAGTCAATTTTGAAGTTTTTAAAGTCGGTAATTTCAGTAATCTAGAAAATTATAAGATTTTAATCTTAATTTGATCCATTTTTTAAATTAAATATTCCACAATTACACTTTTTAAAAATTATTTTGATAATCATTAATACCAATATTCCCAAATATTTATAAATATTTCTTTATAAAAAAAGAAAAAAAAAATTCTTTTTTATTTCTTTTTTTAACTTTATAGATGTGGCTGAAAATATCCTTAAATTTCTTTTGGTTTCTGTTAAATGGTTGAAAGTTCAAATTGGTTCTGTTTTTGTAGAGAAAATTATTCACACTCTCTTAACACTTCTTAATAGGTATGATCAGTACATTAACAATAGATGCTCAGTACATTAACAATAGATCTTTTGTAATTATATACTTTTTGTATATTTTTATAAAGTGATAGGCATCCTAATCAAAATATTAACTGCATTTTTTTTTGTGAAAATACATCATTACAGGTGTTCCTTAATACAGGTGTTCTTCAATACAGGTGTTACTCAAACAGATGTTCCTAAATACAGGTGTTCCTTAATACAAATGTTCCTAAATACAGGTGTTCCTCATAACCTGTGTTGCTTGTTTCAAAGTTCAAAACCTTAGAGTTGCTCCAACCTAAATTTAAAAAGCAATAACATTTTCTGTTGCATAATTAAAATTTCCTGTTGCATAATTAAAATAAATCTTCTAGTTTTAATTTTTACTAAAAAAAACAAAAACAAATTTTAAAAAACAAATTACCAAAATTGATTATTTCGCAAAGCTCACTAATGAAAGGTCAGGAATGATAAATGCTCCATTCTCACAAGTTTTACAAATTTTTTATGTTGGTTTGGGCTTTTTAGTTTTTTGAACTAAATGTTTCTCTCAACTTTTTTATTTTGTTTTATTTTGTTTGATATTTTAATATTAACTTTACAGAGATCAAATGTCAGAGATTCTTAAAAATGGAAATATGTCAAGCTTTTGTGTTTTGGAAAAGTATGTGTTTTTACTTTATTTTTAAAAAAAAAAATAGTTTTTTGATCTTTGCAGTTGTTGTTGCTATTGTTATTTGTGTTTTTTTAATTTTACTTAAAGTTTTTTTTTTTTAATTAAAAAAATATTGATTTGAATCAACTCGTTGAAATTTCTTTGTTTGCAATAATGTTCATCTTAATAAATCTTTGTTTGCAATTATGGTCATCTTAATAAATCTTTGTTTGCAATTATGTTCATCTTAATAAATCTTTGTTTGCAATTATGTTCATCTTAATAAATCTCTGTTTGCAATTATGTTCATCTTAACAAATCTTTGTTTGCAATTATGTTCATCTTAATAAATCTTTGTTTGCAATTATGTTCATCTTAATAAATCTTTGTTTGCAATTATGTTCATCTTAATAAATCTTTGTTTGCAATTATGTTCATCTTAATAAATCTTTGTTTGCAATTATGTTCATCTTAATAAATCTTTGTTTGCAATTATGTTCATCTTAATAAATCTTTGTTTGCAATTATGTTCATCTTAATAAATCTTTGTTTGCAATTATGTTAAATAAATAATGAAAATTTTTTGTAATATATGTCAATAACATCTTGATTAATTAATTTGTTTATATATACATATATATATATATATATATATATATATATATATATATATATATATATATATATATATATATATATATATATATATATATATTCTTAATTGTCCCAAATTGTATTTGGGACAATTAAGAATAATTGTCCCAAATACAATTTAAATTGTAATTTTTTTTTTTTGATTTTCATGAAGTATCATAAAAATGCTAGAAGTCATTGTTCAAGATCCAGACCTAACGTTTAAGAAGCTTCTGCCAAGTATTCTTTCATTTAGTCTTCAAAATCTACTTCCAGCACTTACTGAGGTTTTTTTTAAATTTATATATTTAATACAGAAACTTTTGAAATAAAATGATTGTTGTAAATTCGAAAGAAAAGAAAAACTAGTTTGACAAAGTTTTTTTCTTTCTTATAAAGATATTTGTGTAGTGTGACCAATGAAACTGTTTTTCTGATAAAAATATATGTGTAATGTGACCAATGATTTTCTAATAAAGAAATTTGAGTATTGAAACTGTTTTAACTATTAGAATAATTATCCTGATTTAAATGTTGAGTTGTTGGAACTTTTTCATCAATTACTTCTTCACAATTGGCGTTATTTTTTTAAATCTGATATTGTATCAAAGATGAATGGTACAGATCAAATACAACATGAACAAGATCTCTTAATCATTTTAAAAGTAAGATTGTTTTTTTTTTTTAAAAAAAAAAAAAAACTTGTTTCAAATTGTAAAAAACATTTTAAAATGAATATTAAGTATAAGTAACATTCATTATTTATTTTTATGTGATGTTTTATGTTTTATTCATTATCTTTTATATTTTCATTATCTATCTGTTCATTAATATAAATAATAACTAGTTATAATAAATAAGATATAGTAAGTGTGATAGTAAAATAGATACTTGTGTAACAAAACAATTAAAAATTTGATTAAAAATTTGGTCAAGTGAACTTGTTTTAAAACTAGAAAAAAAATTTAAAAATTATTTATAAAATATTTGTAACACTAATACTATACTGTAACATGATAACAAGATAAAATAAAATACATATAACAAAAATATATAAAGATATTAAAATAATTTTTTAAAAATATATATATATAATAAAAATATATTAAATAATTAGAAATTAAAATGGTTCCTTTTAATATCTATGGTTGTTGTATTATTTTCTAGGCTTACGGCGATCCATTGTTGAAGAACGAACTCTTCCTTTTCAAAAAATCATTAGAAACATTAGTTAGCTTAAATGATAAACATCATTTGTTTGAGAAGGTAAAACTTTTTATAATAATTTATTATTAATTATTATTATTAAGATAATGAACAGGAATGAAAAAAGTTATCATTTTTTACTTTTCTATGGGTGTCATGATATTTTCACCTCTTGATATTCATGTAATATATTCTTTTGAACTGTGATTTTCTGAATCTCTTCCTTTAAGGAAATTCTTTTCTCAGTCATTTGAATCTTCACACCCTACTTTATATATATATAGCCCTCTGAAAAATGAGGTTAGCAATAAATTACTGACTTTAAACTTTTAGAGATCAGCATCAGCAATAAAAGTTTGACACTAAGGAGTTACTCAAACGCTGACATATATATATATATATATATATATATATATATATATATATATATATATATATATATATATATATATATATATATATATATATATATATATATATATATATATATATATATATATATATATATATATATATATATATATATATATATATATACTCAATCTATTGAAAATTGTAAATGAAAAAAAAAAGTATTTAAAGATAAATATAAAGCAAAATCTATCATTTACTATCAGACGAATCAGAGTAAATCATAGAGTAAATTTAAATGCAGTCACGCTTTGATAGAAAAAGTATTTAGGTCTAAAGAATATAAATCATATAGTTAAAAAAAACTCCAAAGCAATTTATTGATGAAGAAATTTAAACAATTCATCATTCAAATAAGCTGTATGAACTTTAAGGCTGAGAATTGTGCATGATTGAAGATGATGAAACCTATTGCAAAAAGAACATTGCAAAACTGCTGAGCCAGCAATATTTTTATCAGTCAAAAGATATACCCCACTCAAAAATTTAATTATATTCAAATTGAGAATATTGCCCACTAGTTATATGGCAACCAATCTGTTCCTATGGTTTGAAAAGTATACCATACATTACTTTGAACACAGATTTACATACAAAAGAATACTTAAAGAAAAGTCTTTTGTCATTTATTGAAAAGCCTTATATACCCACAATATTTTAGCCTAATTTGGCTACAATCCACTTCTCCAAGAAGTACCTTGAATGGTATGAACACAATAGTATTGAATTTGTACCTAAGGAAGCAAATTAGAAAAAAAATCTTCCAAATTGTTCTGAGCAGTGTGTTAAAATTTATTTTTCAATCATAAAAAGAATTTTTTTAAAAAGCAAGACTTGGATAGCAGTTTGAATAAAATTAACTCAAAACAAGATCTAGCAGATGATATCAAGTATTAATTGCTTTTTTTTAGTCAAAAACTATTTGCTTTCTATAAAAGTGTCCAATGAAAAATGTAAAAAATTATTGTTAATTAAATATTCAATTGTCTTCATTGTATTAAAACTATTGCAAAAATCTGTTATGTAGTTTTCAAATAATTAACAATTAAAGGGTGCTGAATTTCATCGTATTCAACCAATATGTAAGTATGTATGTATGTATGTATGTATGTATGTATGTATGTATGTATGTATGTATGTATGTATGTATGTATGTATGTATGTATGTATGTATGTATGTATGTATGTATGTATGTATGTATGTATGTATTAGGGTGGAGTGATTTTCATAGCAAAAAAAAAAAGTTTAAAAATCAATATTCCTGAATTGATGTCTATTAATTATAGAATGAAAGTAAAAAAGTATTTTTTGATTTTGATGAGATCTCGAGGTTCCACTTTGGATTCTAAATTAAAACAAATATTAATTTAAATTAAGTTATAATTTAAAACTTAATTTAAATTAAGTTTTAAATTTAAACAAATATTATTTTCGAAATCAGCATATTATTCTGCTTCTTTTGAGTACCAGGTTGATATAGCTTAGAAGAATTTCAACAATATTAGGATCCGTCATAAATTTAGAATCCAAAGAGGAACCTCTAAAATTTATCTTAATTAAAAAAAAAAGTAAGGTTCTTTTTTTACCAAAAGACATCAATTCACAGCTCAAATCAAATTTCAGGCAAATCAAATTTCGAAAATTTTTAAAATCGCTCCACCCTAGTATGTATGTATGTATGTATGTATGTATGTATGTATGTATGTATGTATGTATGTATGTATGTATGTATGTATGTATGTATGTATGTATGTATGTATGTATGTATGTATGTATGTATGTATGTATGTATCTATGTATCTATGTATCTATGTATGTATGTATGTATGTATGTATGTATGTATGTATGTATGTATGTATGTATGTATGTATGTATGTATGTATGTATGTATGTATGTATGAATAAATGAATATAAATGTAGAAAATTAATAATTTTATACTTTCATTTGTAACTAATATCAATTAATTAAAAATAAGTTTAAAAAGTGGTATTTTTTTTTAGGCGATTTTTCAATCAGCAATGTTAAGCAGTTTTTTACATGTCTTGTTAGACACTCTTACAAAAAATACTCATAGTCTTCTTCAAGAAGAGATTATTCATTCAGTGTATGGAATGGTTGTATACAACTTTGATGCTTACTTCAACCAATTCATTCCACACTACCTTATGAACATATCAGGAATCACTGATCACCAGAGGATGCAGCTTCATTCAAACTATAAACGACATAAGGTTATTATTTTATTACTATTGTTTTTTTTGTTTTTTTTTAATTTCTTGCTGCTAAAATTATATATATATATATATATATATATATATATATATATATATATATATATATATATATATATATATATATATATATATATATATATATTTCAACATTTTCTTTGACCTTTCAACATTTGATGGATCTCTAATAATATTATGAAAATAATTCTCCAAACCTTGATCAAAATTAAAGTTTCAAAAGAAACTATAAAGATGATTATTTTTGATTTTTTAAAAACCATCTTAGCAATACAATTATTTATCTAAGGCTGGTGCCTATAAGAAAAAAATTGTCTGAACAAAACAAAATTAATATATCTTTAATTAAAAGAGGTTATAACAGAGTTTTGTTTCAATCTAATTCTTTCCCAACAAGGCTGCAAGCAACCACTATTAAAATGGCAGTTATTAGAAAATAAAGAATAGAGTTAAAGAGCTAGAAAACAGTTGACAGAAAAGTTGTAGGTTGTATGAGTCAAGAAAACACGATGATAGGAGTGAGTTCCAATGGGTTGAAGTGGGGGAGGGGAAAAGTTAGACAAATATAAGTTTTTATTTATTTTTTATTATTTTTTTAAGTTTGATACAGTAAAAGGATACAGCTTTGAGCAGCGTGACATCCCTTTTTATTTTCAGAAAATAAAAGGGATGCAGTTCTATGTTGATGGGAGAGGCTTGAGTTTGGCAGATCTGCTTTATCTTCCCTTCTAGAAAAGGTAAATCATTAAATCATTTTTAGACCTTGTCTAAAAAAGAAAAAATATCATTAGAAGAACCAGACCAAATGGTAACAATATAACTGAATAAAAGATTAGTAGAGGTAGGAAAAGGTAGGGATTAGACTCAGGAGTAACATAGTTGCAAGCATGATAAAGAAAACCTTAGGAGATGCTAACTTTGCATTTAGTTGTTTCAATGAGTGATCAACAGTGAACAAAAAATCAAAGAAAAAGTAAAGAAAATGACTCAAAGTATTGTAAGTTTTGTTGGAGTTAAAATTCACAAGTCTCTGCAAGCCCCAATATGTTACAGAAGTGAGATCAGATTCAAGATTGGCTGTCTGTTTTGAATTGAGAAGAATTTTTTTTCAAAACAAGAATATAAAGTTGAGTCGTTGACAAAAGAGCCACTTTTACGATACAGGACTAAGGATTGAAACTTGAGGTACCATAGAATTTACTGGAGATTAAGAAAACCACTTCAATAAAGTGTTTAAAAAAATGATTTAATAGTCTCAAAATTTTTTATAGATACATCAAATGAAGCAAGCTTATCGAGAAGTCCTGTATGCCAAACTTTATCAAAAGCTCTAGATATGTCAGCAGCATTAGCCCTTGCCTTAATGCCTCCATCTAATGCAGGATAGAAACTTTAAGTTACAACAGTTAGCAAGTCATCTGAGAAAAGATCGAAAACCAGATTGATTGTTAGAGTATGTTATTATTCTCAAGATGGTGTGTTCTATATTTGTTGATCAAAGACTGAAAGACTTTGCTTATCATAAAGAGAAGGCTGATCATATGATAGTTGGAGGGCTTAGAATGTTCTTCAGAGTTTTTTAAAATTGGAACCACAGGTTCTATTTTCCAGCAAACAGGAAAACAAGATTCAGTCGAGACATTTAAAAAGAGTTCTAGAGAACACTTTTGCAAAACTATGACAGGAGTGTTTTCTGGAGCACAAGCCATAGAATTAATTGATAAATAACTTTAGCAGCTGAAGTGATTTAGATGTCTAACAATTGGTTTGATCTGCTTGACTGGAATGGCAGAAAAATTATAACCATTATATTAAAGAGTTAAATTAGAGAAAGTTACCAATACGTATTCTATTTATACGTATTAATACGTATTATTCTTTGCAATAAGATCTGGCTTTTCCTTGGGAGAAATCCCATGAATTAGATATGAAATGTTTGACTTTTGTTAATGACACTGTTGAAGATTTTCCAAAAGTCTCTAAAGTCTAACTTCTGAGATAAGATACAAGATTTACAGTGGCATGCTGGCTTCAAAAGTCCATGTGTCGGATTTATCTAAAAAGATCTATTTATATGGGAAATTACTATATATACTTGATTTGAAGGCCCATAAATGTATAAACACTATGTTTTATAACAGCATGTAACTTCTTATATAACCATCTGACGTTGACATTGCCTTAATTTTGAGACCGATTTTAGATAATGTTTGCATTTTTATATACAAAATATACTAGCACTCAAAGTTTAACACTTTTAATCAGATAATTATATCTGCAATTGTAAAAGGAAAGTAACTTCAAAGACCACAATATTTGTGAAAGATATATTGAAACAGTGTTGAAACTGTGTTTTTTATGTTTAATATTTTTAGTTTGGACATGAATCAAGTTAAAGAGGATTTTCAGAAAGCATGAGTGGATCCATTGATAGATCCATTGCACTATTAGAAGCCAATTTATGATTTCAATAAAAAAATGTTTGATAATAACATAAATATTAAAATTATTGTTATTGTATTAACTTTTTTAGAAACAATAACAATACCTGTGATTTGCAATTTTTGTAATACTGTAATACAATAACAATAAATATTGTATTGTAATTCATCTTGATAATACAATAACAGTTTATTGTTATTATAATATAAAAAAATTATTATAATGTCAAAACTTATTCATATGACCAGAAATAGAATCAATAATCATATATTATATGTACCCTCAATAACCATATATTATTTGTACCCTATTTCAATAGGGTACAACTAATATATGATTATTGATTCTATTTTATTTTTTGAATATCACTTATCAAATGTTTTGAATATCACTTATCCTAGTTGCAAATTTTATATAGCTCTATAAAAGTGAGTTTTGTTTGACCTGTTTTTCTATTATTGCTGGGGATAGATATCTATACATAATCAATTCCTATCATTTCTTCCACTTAGTTTTTTGCTTTTACAACAGACATTAGCAGTTATTTATAATAGTAAAATAAAACTATTTTCACACGCTTTATGTAGTTATTAATTTAGACGTTATCATCTGGTGAAACATTTCAATATCAGTTTAAACAAAATTTTAAAAAAATCAAATGTGAAACATTTGATTTTTTTTAACTTCACATAGTAAATAATTATCTAATTACAAACATATGATAAATTATATATTTGTATGACTTTGAATGAGTATTATTAATGTTAATTCTAAATTATTTTTTAAACATTTATATTATTGAACTCAATATAAATAAATTATATGATCCACTGATGCATACATTGGTGTGCAGATTGGTTTTATGTTAAAATCAGTTTAACGGAGCAGTGGAAAATAAATTAAAAAACAAAAAATGTATTTGTAACTAGTTTACATAATTTTTTGTCAAACATTTAAGCAGCCGTGGCGCAGTGGTTAGAGTTTTGGCTCAGAACCCAGAGGTCCGAGGTTCGATGCCAGCTCCAGCCCAACAAGCGACATTGGTACAGAAGGAGGCGTGAACTTCCTGTTAAATGCTCACCCGCGGTGCTCTATGATAAGACCGTTGGGACTTCTGGGAGCACCTAAATACATACATACAAATATGTCAATGGTTGCTAAAAACAGGTGCCACAAGTGCCCCTGAATTTAATATTTGTTAAGTATATATACTTCTTTGGCTTTCCGTGCTTACTTCATGTGCCCTCTGAATTTTCTGCCCAAATAATAATAAATGCGTGTGAAAATGAATCTAAATACTTTATAATACAATAGCTATTGGACTTTGAAATGGTAATACAATACAGCACAATATTTATTGTAACTGTTTTTGATGAAAACAATACAATAGTCATTGTAATTGTTTTACATCATAGCAATACCATACAAAAGTTTTACGATTTCAATGTATGGTTAGAACAAAAACAATACAATAGTTAATGTAACTGTTTTTCATCACAGCAATGCAATAACAATTATTAATGTTTTAATTACATTTCTGGTATTACAATACAGTATTATTGTATTTAATTTTTACAATTACAATTACAACAGTCCAAACCCTAGTTTTTAGTAATGTAGAGCAATAACATAGTTGATTAATAATGATGAAACACAACAAATAATAATGATGAAACACAACAAATAATAATGATGAAATACAACAATGTATCAACAAAGCATAATCTTACCATAACAAAAAAAATGTGTTTTATTTACTCCCTCAATATATTTTGTTAACAAACGTTTTGGTAGTTATATGGCAATAGATTGTATCTCACTAAAACATATTTTTACAGAAGAACAAAAACAAAGTTGGCTAAGAGATATTTCAGCCAAGTTTTACTCAATTTTGAGCATTATACTACAATGCTTAAAAATAAATTTCCAGTATTAAACAGTAATCATAAAAAGAAGTTTTTTTTTTTTTTTGTAATGTTAATTCACTTCCCCAAAACTGAGAAGGCTACTACAGTCAAAGAGGCTATTTTAATTGTGTCTTTAATTTAGTTTCTGATTTTTTAATTGTAATTTAATTTAATTTTTAAATCTCTCTCAACGCTATAACTCCAAAGCACCAACCTTGACGAGTTCGTTGACCAAGGCCGCTGCACAGAGAAACAAGTTAGTCAAGTGGATCCCAGTTTATTAAACCAGTAATTTAGGTCACACCACTAAATACATCTCACCAATTACACCTTCATCCACAATGACTCTTTGTGTTCTATCGATTATAAAATGCTCTATCCAAAATTAGCAAAATTAATGTTAATAATATTAATTTTTCAATTATTTTTAACCTTGTCAAATGCATATTTATTCAAATTTAGAGTAATATAGTAAAATTTTTCAAATTTGAGCCAAATTTAGCAGAAATATCTCTTTTGCAAACTTTTAACAAATTATTAAGAGTGAACGCTGTCTGGATGGATGGATTCAACTTATTACTCCTTAATTTTGTTGCCTCTTACCTCTTCATTTAATTTATAGCTTTTATTTATTTTGTAAAAGTTATGAAATAATTTTGAAAAAACGTTTTTCATAGCTTTTAAAAAAAAAGAAGTATAAATTACAAATAAAAAAATGAAAAAATATATAACAAAAGTTTCCTATTTTTATATAAACTATATTCCTTAAAAGATATTATTTATATTTATTTATATGTCATCAAGATATATAAAATAAAGTCTGCTAACAACACTTTTTAATTGGTTTCTTTGATTAAATGATTTACTTTACTTCTAACCACTCGTGTCTTACTACTTATCAAGGCATAAGGGCTCCTTATGTAGCCTTGATAATGCACACCAAAAAAAATTAACAGGCACATCTTGTGCCATGTGCAACATGTCACTGTAAATACTATGATATTATACAGCTGTTGATGAAATCAGCATCTCTAAGAGCTACCACTGAATTGGCAAACCCTTGTACCAGCCAGTCTTAAAATTTTTAAACTAAGTTTTTGAGCTGTACCCTCATTAGAAGATAATATAAAGAGTATAGAGTCATTGTTAAGGTAGCCATTAACCTTTGTTAAGGTACAAGCAACAACCCATAATTAAAGTCAATAAGTACCAACATTTATCATTCTTATTAGGAACCAATGTAGTAGATTTACTTCTGTTCCAGCCTGTAAGATGAAAAAAGGGTGCAAGGCTGGTCAACTGAGATTTTCTGCTTATCCCAAAAGTCTTTGCCTAAGAGGCCTTCTAAAAGATAGTAGCCGAATGCAGTTAACATCTGCCCAAGATGATTGAGACACTATCTCTAGCTTTTACTTAATTGATAACTCTATGGCTATTGAGGGTATTTTTATTCAGAGTATACGTTTGATACTTGTTTTTGTGGATAAAGAAGAAATATTTTCATGATCATAATCATGAACATATGTTCACGATGATAATCATGAAATATGTTGATGATGATAATCATGTATAATTTAAAAATCATTGCAAAATAAAATGTTGTACGGGTATGTTGTATAAATGTTGGGTAATTGTTGTAAAAAAAAGTGTTGTATAATTGGGTATGTTGTATAAATATTGTATATATAAAAAGCATCCAGGAAATGAGGTCAGAACTAAACGCATTATATTTTTTTGTTCAAGAAAATGAAGTAAAAGGTTTTACTCTAGCTGGAAAAATAACGACAATGATATAGATTTATTTTGAATTTACTTAATTTAACTATACTCTAAATTAGCAAATAAAAGATATTGATGATTTCGTTGCATTGATTTTGCTAAAAATTTTAAATAAATACACGTGAAGTTGAGGACTATGGTGCGCCATTTTAACCTGAAAAGCTTGATGTGCCATTTTTACTTGGTGAAAAAAAAGTAGCTTTTAGGTTGTATTATTTATTATTGTTTATAATTATGTATTATTATTTGTTTGTAAAAATAAGTAATAAGAGTCCTGCTTGTTTCATAGTCTCAAAATTTAAACTTTAAGATATTAGCTACCAGTTCTCCTGAGGTCTCCTGAGGTCTAGCCTGCCAAGGTTTTATTTTTGAGGGTAAAGGTTGAGGTTAGGATAAAGGGAAGGTGAGGATAAAGGGTAAGGTGAAGATGAAGGGTAAGGTGAGGGTAATGAATAATGGAGAAGTATTCTATTTAACTAGTTCTAGTTAAAAACTATATAATTATTTTATTGAAAATTTTAGGCAACTCAGTTGATATTGAGTTTTGACTTTCTTTTTAGGATATTCCTTCTTTTACAACTTCTCTTCAACAGTTTGTCGGGGATCTGCGATATTATCAAATAATTAATAGTGGCGCACAACCTGGCTCTGTACAGCTATAAACATGGTTTAATGACCGTCCTTAATTAGCACGTTTACTGATGACGATGCTTTACCTAAACTCATCAATTCAGTTGAAGAGTTAGCGCCTCTCTCAATCTCCCTACGATTTTTTGAATCTAACGAAAGGATTTGTGTTGATGCCTAGTTTTAAAGATAAATTCAAAAGGAAATCGTTTTAGAATCCAATTCCTAACAAACGAGAGACAAGATTTGATGTATTCGCTCAGAGGACAGTTTATATTTATTTTTGCGGTAACAGCTAGTTGTAATTTAAAAAACAATTTTTACTAGCTAATTAAATTTGTTTATTTTATTATTTGTCATTGATTTAATCTGTATCTTGATCTAACTTTTTCTTACATTCTTCTTTAAACTTGCAATTCTATAATTTTATTATCTTCTATTTTTATCTTGATTATATATGCTCATAATTACTTTATAAACTTTTTAATGAATTTTTATAGTATTTTTGTTACATTTACTTTTAGTCCGATATAAAATACAAATTTAATAGATATGCATTTAATAAGCATTTTTTTGTTGTTGTTAAATTCGATAGATTATTACTTCGTTGACATTGTTTTAAATAAAACATTTTCTAGTAAAAATAAGTGACCTATTTAAAACGTGCTTTATTATCAGTATGAACCGGTATAAAAATGATAAATACCGAGGATGCCTAATTGGAACCTTCTAAAGTAGAATTCCCGCTCATGCGGAATGTGACGTCACGTTAGTAGTCCATTGATTTTTGTCTTGTTTAATAAGATTAATTTTTATTATAAACTTTTGCAAAATAAATTTTTTATATTTCGTTTAATTTAAATTATCTGATTACAAAAAAAAAAGTGAATGAAAAAAATAATAATAATAACAATTACATTTATTTTGAAAGTAACTTTTTTTTTTTACTAGTTAGTTTTTTTTACATTAACTAATTTTTAAAAAATATATCAAAAATCTCATTAAGACTAACAAATTCTTATTTTTTTATTGTTAAAGTAACTTTAGCAATATTCTTAAATAATAATTTATGAAAGTTGCCAGCTTCCTTAATACTTTTAGAACTTTTTTATACTATTTTTTTCTACACTTTGAAGGTTATCAGCTCTTTTAGAAGAACTGATAACCTTCAAAAACAATTATATCAAAAAGACTTTTTGCAATAATTGTATTTGGTAGTGTACATATGGCAAGTCATGCAATATAAAGTATATAACTAATATAAAGTATTGAAATACCACAACTGCATACACCATCATTCATCTCAAGAAACTCGAAACACTTAATTGAAAAAGAAATTAGGATTTATTTGTGCGATGACATTAACTAATATTTGTATTCATATTTAGAAGATATCAAAGAAGAAAATATTAAAATACTTAATTTTTTTTTTTTTTTGGTAGCAACTAAAAACAGAATTCTGTTTTTAATTGCAATTATCAATAAAAACATCTTCAGAATTGTCTGTAGATTCAATTGCATTGACACGATTTCATCCAGAAATAAAGTCTAAGAATAATATACTGCCATTTTTAGTACAAATAATGTTTAAAAGAACTAATGATTTTTTTTCTGATTCTTTTATCTCTTGAACTGGTAAAAGATAATTTCCATCCGAAAACTTTCGATAAGAACCAAATCGTTCTTCCAAATAGTTTGTCAACACATAGAAAAAATGCAAATCAGTTAGCATGTATTTAATCAGTTCAATAAAAGTTATCTAGTGTGTATTCAAGCAAATATAGTCTGCTTAGTTAGGCAGCCATGCCTACTTTTTTGTTAAATATTTTCCTATCCTTGAATTCAAAAAAAAAAAACTTTTTTTTTTTTTAATAAAAAAGTAATTGTTTAAGTCATTGATAGGATTACAATTATTATCTTGCTTACAAATTCCTTTACTAGGAGACATTTAATATTTTCCGGAGTTTTATAATTAAAGAAATAAACTCATGAATTCCTGTCAGAGTTGTTAGTCCTTGGCCTTGTCTTTGTCTAAAGAATAAAAATTAAAGCCTTGGCCTTGAAACCGTTGGCCTTGGTCTTGGCTTTGAAAGTTTTAAAGCTAATTTAACATTTTATCTTTCAATAGTGGTCAGGTTAAGAGCTTTATTTGTCAAGTTTGAAGCAAATTTAACAATATTATCTTTTTCAAAGTTGTGCAACTGTCAAATATGTTAAATACATGCATTACATTTAGAATTATCAGTAAAACCAGTATAAATGAATAATGATCATGTTGTCTCAGCCAGTTACTGCGAATACATTTCAATAGCCATAATGATCAAATTGTCTCAGCCAATTATTGCGAATACATTTCAATAGATGTACACTATTAAATAAAACAACAGTTTTCTTGTTGAATCATAAGAATGTTGAATAAATGAGTCAAATAAATGAGTTAAAATCACCACTACAAAAGGCAATAAACATGTTTCAATTAATCTGACTAATGTCTGAAATTAAAGAAAGAACTTTGTAACCACAATTTTTTATCGTTTCAACCACTTTTTTAGTATTTCTTTTAAATAGATAGCGGTCATATTTTTTACCAAAACAACATCTTTGAATGATACTGAGCAACATCTTTGTATGATGATAATAAAGAAGTTATAAATGTTTGCACTGTGACATTTCAGATGAAAACTAAAAGCTAGAGTATCAGGACCGAGGTTAATACCGAGGTTGATAAATCAATAATATTTCATTTGTTCACATAAAAATACTAAACATTTATGAACATCTACAAGCTTTTATTATTGAAAATCATACAATGAAAACTAAGTAAAAGATAATATTGTTATACAGGTATTTAATTTTATAAGAAGACCGTCAGGTCTTGTCATCAAGAACCGCTCGTAATTTACAATTTCAATAAATCATCATCAAATATAGTTGTATATCTCTATAAAAACTTGACAGCATAAATACATCAAATAATACATGAAATTATTAAACGTTTAAAAACATATTATCCAGAGACAAAATAATTTCTTTAAGTTTATTTTTAAATGAGAGGTAACTCCATTACAGAGAAAAAACAAAATGTTTTAAAACTATTTTATTCCAAAGAGAAATTCCGCGAAATGCAATGTTTGTTTTTCCAAAATTAGTTTGATAAAAATCTTGCCGAACTAAATTGCCATTTCTCAAATTGTATTTATTTTTATCTTTAAAGGTATATAAATTGTAGAGAGAAACTGAGGAGGAATTTATTTTACATTTGTACATAAAACAAAGTGTATTAAAAAAATTGAGCTAATATATATTAAAATTTTTTATTTCAGATAAAAAAGGCTTCGCATGAGTAAATCTGTCTTTAAAATTGATAAGAAGAGCAACATGCTTCTGCTGACGATTAGGAGGGTCCAGTTTACTTTTATTGGCACTACACCAAGCAATATTTGCATAGTTTAAATGACAATGAATAAAAGAAAAATATAACTGTGTTAAACTTTATTTATTTAAAGCATTTCTAACCTTAAACAATACTCCTATACTTTTAGCAATTTTGTTGTACAAAAAATTAGTGTGATATTTCCAGCTAAGGCTTTCATCAACATGGACACCTAAAAAGTTAGCATTTTTTACTCTTTTTATTTGGAATATGTCTATAAAAAGTAAGGGCAAGTTGGGCGGCAGTAGTTTCTTTTTAGAAGTCGGATTAAAGAGTAAGCATTTTGTTTTATCCACATTTAGTGACAATTTATTCATTTTGTACCATTTACAAATTTTCGCTAATTCAATGTTCATAGTTTGAAATAATGTTAAAATACTTTTATGCGATAAAAAGAGATAAGTGTCATCAGCAAACATGACAGTCATTAAATTTGACGCTTTAGGAAGATCATTGATTTAGATTTAAAAAAAAAAGTGGTCCAAGTATAGAGCCCTGGGGAACTTCACAGGTTATATTTGATAAATTAGTTGTACCAGTTTCATAACTATAAACAAACTGTTTACGGTTTTTAAAATAACTTTTAAGTATCATTAAAACATTCTCCTCTTTTCCATAGTATTCTAATTTTTTAAGGAGAATTCGATTATTAATAGTGTCAAACGCTTTTGATGAATCTATAAAAGTTTCAACGTATATTCTTCTCAAAAGATTCAGCAATACTGCGAGTAATTTGGAGCATTGTATGTTCTGTCGAGTTATTTTTTTTTTTTTTTTTTTTTTTTTACATAAAACAAGTTTTTTTCACATAAACTTTTTTTTACTTACTTTTTTTTTTAAATTAATTACAAATAAATATATTGTTAGAAAATAAAGAAAGATAACATAATAAAGAAACGGAAAACTCGTAGGAGACCATGATGTCTTGTCACCGAGAAACCGCTTAAGCTGACTGAAATGATTTTGGTTGATTTGATATAGAGCTTTAATTGTACACAGAGTTTTTTTTTTCTTTTTTTTATTGTAAACATGGTTATTTATATCTTGGCTATTTAAAATATCATAATCGAATTTTTGAAAATAATACATTTTAATATTTTATATAGTATTTGATTTCAAGAACTTTTTAGTAACATTTAGTTTATTTTAGGAAAACCATTTTGCGATAAATAGCTAATATTAGTATATTCGCACTCCAGAGTATACTTATCTCATAAATAATTGTTTTCTTCAGTACTTTTGGTAACGACTTTAGTAGAATGTACGACTTTTAGAAAGTAAGCTGCTGATGAATATACGTAGACTACCAGCACATACACACAACATACTAAAAGCACTTATACACCCATATATATACAAGCATACGTACATAAATACATACATACACAGATATACACACATTTATACATACATATATACTGGGGCCACTCCTTTTTCTCGTCTATGTTAATGATCTGCATAATGCCTCAAATTTAACGACAGTGATGTTTACCGATGACACTAACCTTTTTCTGTCCAGTAGTGATATTGTTACACTTTTTAATGACATAAACATGAGTTAGTTAAAATTTCAAATTGGTTTAAGACAAATAAATTATCAATTAACTTAGAAAAAACTCTATAGACTCTATTTCATCCTAAATCCAAAAAAAAACCTTTTACCAAATGATATGCCTCAAATATATATTGACAATGTTCAAATAAAGCAATCAAAAGTTATACATTTCCTTGGTATTTTCATTGAAGAAAACTTAACATGGAAAAATCATATCGAAACATTATGCAATAAAGTCTCAAAAAATATTGGAGTGTTGTATAAAGCGAGAAATTTTGTAAATAGACATGCATTAATTCAACTTTATTACTCGCTAATTCAATGTCATGTAAACTATGTATGCTAACATTGCGTGGGGCAGTGCTAATAATAGTCAATTAGAACCTTTTTATCGGCAACAGAAGCATCTAGCACGTCTAATAAATTTTAAAGATCGTTATACTCATGCAAAACCTCTTTTAATAGACATGAATATTCTTAATATATATCAACTAAATGTTTTTAATGTTCTTTGCTTTATGTACAAATGTAAGATAAACTTAACACCAATATTTTTTCAAAATTTATATGCAAT